CCTGTGGCAGAGGCTCTGCAGAGACAGGTTTAGATACACAATCATGTTAATGAACACAGACAAACCAGAACAGTTACTGATGATCCCTTGCCAGGACAGCTAGTCACTGTCCTAAGGGATCTAAACTGTGTACTACTGGAGTAACTCAGGAGCCCATATTGATCAGCTGGTAAAGAAATGAAGATTAATTACCTGTAACTGGAGTTGAGGTGGCCTCTGTGCATTCATGCTCCTTGGAGGTGCTGGCAGATCCCGTCCAGACAGAGCAACCTTTTCATAGTAGTGGCTAATGCAATTCTCATATGACCCTCCGCTCTACATTCCTGAATATTGGGAGGGTGAAGCTACAAAGGAGGGGTGTGGGTGGAGTCCTCTGATGCCTCAAGTCTTTCCACCTCCTCCACAAAGTCAAGTTCTGTGAGGACTTAAAGGAAGAGATGAAGGTGGGTTTGGAGTGTGAATTTACAGCATCCACCTCCAAGAGGTCCAATTACAGGTAAGACCAGGCATTTGCTACTGATCTATATTGTTATAAATATGTCACTCGGGGGTGTAGAAGCATCTTCACAGAGGCACTACAGTGGCACTGTATGTAAAGACAAGAAGAAATGAAGGTTACTTTCGGCAAGCATCCACTGCATAGTCTCATTCTTGGGCTACTTTGGCAAACAGTAATCCATAAATGGAAGGAAAGATTCAGAGTTCTATTGACTAGGGATTGAGCTATTGCAACCTGAGCAGTCATTGTAGGTTCTAGCTCTAGGGAGTGTACTTTGTAAATGTGGGTTTACAGCTCCAAGCAACAACCTATAGATATCTAAATGAATTCTTTGCAACAGTCTTCATGGCTTCCAGGGGGAGGAAGAGAAGACCACCCCAGTAGCACTCTCTCTGGAAAGCAGCCTCTGCTGCTCACACACACCTCCCCCAACATTCTCTCCTCTCCTCTCCGCCAGTGAGATGGGATAGAAGTTCTCTCTGAGGAACGCCACCAGTGCCAGACCTGGTGTGTGGGGGACACTGAAGGAAGCTGAGCCACCCTGTCCTCCCTCCTGGCCACAGGCTTCTGGCTTGCCCGGCATCTTCTCATGCCTGCTTGTCCCTGGAATGTGGGTGAAGAGAGGCTCTCCTGGGATGTCTGTGCCCCTTCAGGACAGTGCATGCTATGTAGGCAACAGATGGCCTTGCTCGAAGCACATCTCCTTAGTCTGAACCAAGACCGTCAGTGTCGACTCAGAGATGAGGGCTGGGCTTCATGCACAGTGTCTCCTGGGATGACTGCCCTTGTCGCTTTTCTTCACAGCTGGACCAATTGCAACCATGGTGTGTGCACCACCTCCCATGCCATCTGCACAACTGCACAGGCTCCACAGGCGGAAAAAAACCTGCAAGGACCTGCTGCAGGAGCAGATGGCATGTTTGCAGTCCCTCATCCAGAGCTTTGATGAGGAGCACCAGGCTGACTGGGAGCAGAGGAAGGTCATGTAGGAGCAGCTGTCATGCCATCACAAGGCCATACGCTCAGTCATGGAGGGCGTGGCCACGTGTATGGAACAGGCCTCCAACCATCTCCCTGGCCCCACTCCCCCAACTTCCTGCCCACCTCACCCCCCTCATTCCCCACTCCCCCAGCCTCTCCTACCCCCCCC